AAAGTCCACCCTGGTTTCAAACCTCCTCCAATAAGGACTTACCCAGTCCTTCCTAAATAGTCCCACCAACAGGGGACCAAGGGTTCAGAACTATGAGTCTATGAAGTCATTCTCATCCAAGCCACCACGACTCTGAGCAACAACTTGAATGAGTTTCTAGTGCTTCATAACGGGGTATTTGTCAGCTAGTTAGTGGTTACTGTAGGGAATATTGTCTCTAATCTTTCACATTGTTTGCCCAGGCTTAGGCATGACAGCTGGAGTGGAAATCAAAGAAAAAGAAAGAAGCTTGTAAGGCTACACTTGGATTGTCACAATGTCACATTCTCTAGGTTTCCACCCAGATTTCACAGGAAGAGAATGATTTTATCTTTTGGTAGAGGTGACACAGCACAGTCCTGCACTACAGTGCACACCAAGAGCACTGGGGTAGCATGGTCATTCCTACAATCCACAAGACTAGATTCGCTTATGCTCCTCAAACAGAATTCTACAATGCCGGGCGATGGTGGCACACGCCTTTAATCCCAGCACTCGGGAGGCAGAGGCAGGCGGATCTCTGTGAGTTCGAGACCAGCCTGGTCTACAGAGCTAGTTCCAGGACAGGCTCCAAAGCTACAGAGAAACCCTGTCTCGAAAAACAAAAAAAAAAAAAAAAAAAAGAATTCTACAAAAAATGATTCCTATGGGCATTTTTTCTCACACAGTGACATGATATTTGGAAGTAAAAAGACTTTTTATGATTTATAAGGAATTTAAAAAGATATTTTGAAGTTAAAGACTTTAAGAAGGCTTTATCTGAGTACAATAAAATATCTTTATTTAATGACAGAAAATATGATTGAACTAGAAATGTATTTACTGACTATTCCATATCTTGTGTTTCAAATTTACTCTGTGTCAAGGTCATTTGAGAATGCAAAGTACATCTAGCTACAAAGTTTAGAAAAGACTCCTAGACTGTGACATATTCAGCAAGATTCCACCTTTGAAGGTATTAAACAAATAAATCATCACTTACAGCCATTGTTAATAATTTAAGAAACGTCATTTAGTAAATTTGAAAGAGTCACTTTCTGTAAAGTTGGGCAATGATTTCCAAGTACAAGCTGCTTGGTAACTTATAACCTGGCTTAAAAATAAAGTACTTCTTCACGGTCAATTAAAGACAATTTTTAATTGAGAAATTTTAACCATAACCCACTAACAATATGTGATGGCTATTTTCATTGTCAATTTGAATGTGCCTGGAATTAACTAAACCCCCCCCCCCCAAACAGCTGGGCACACCTGTAAGAGATTTTTGCTTCATTAAGTTGAAGTGGGAAGATCTACTTCTAATCTGGATCTTTGAGGTGGAAAGACACCCCTTTAATCCAGATCTTCTGAGATGAGAAGACCCACCTCTAATCTGGGCCACACCTTCTGCTGGCAGCCTAAGTAAAGGACGTGGAAGAAGGAAGCTCTTGTTCCTTGCCTGCTTGTTCTTGCTCTCACTAGCAAGTCCATTCCTATTCAAGACTCCAGCATATACTGCAGACCAGCTAAGACATCAAGCCTCATGAACTTAACAGCTACTGGATTCTTGGACCTTCTTCGCAGGCAGCATTGTTAGATTAGTGTCCAAGGGTATGGTCAATTTTGGAGAAAGTTCCATGAGCTATTGAGAAAAAGATATATTCTTTTGTGTTTGTGTGAAAATTTCTGTAAATATCTGTTAGATCCATTTATGATTTGTTAGCTCCAGTATTTCTTTGTTTAGTTTTTGTCTGAATGATCTGTCTATGGGTGAGAGTAGAATATTTTGAACTCACCCCCTATCACTGTGTGAGGGTCATTTGCTGTGGGACAATGGTTTTACCCTGTAAACATTTGCTTCTTGTACTTGTTTAATAAAATGCTAATTGGCTGGTAGCCAAGCAGGAATTATAGCCGAACAGCCAGGCAGGGAGTACAGGCAGGAGAATGAGAACAGGAGAATTCTGGGAAGAGGAAAGCTCATTCTACAGTTGTGACCCAGCCACAGAGCAAGCAAGATGTGACCACCTTGTCAAAAAAGGTACCAAGCCATGTGGCTAACATAGACAAGAAAAATGGGCTAGTTTAAAATATCAAAATTAATTTTAAAAAAAGCCTGATCTACTAGGCTGATCAGTTTATGACTAATGTAGTCAGTCATTAAGTGGCTTAAACTATAGTAGTATTCTCTCTCTCTCTCTCTCTCTCTCTCTCTCTCTCTCTTTGGTTTTTCGAAACAGGGTTTCTCTGTAGCTTTGCTGCCTGTCCCGGAACTAGCTCTTGTAGACCAGGCTGACCTCGAACTCCCAGAGATCTGCCTGCCTCTGCCTCCCGAGTGCTGGGATTAAAGGCGTGCACCACCACCGCCCGGCAAGTAGTTTTTCTTTTGTGGAACTTGAGTGCCCTTGTGTTTGGTTCATAGGTGTTGAAAGTAGCAATATCCTTTTAGTGGATTTTTCCTTTGATGAGTTTGTAGTGACCTTCCCTATCTATTTCGATTATATTATTTGACGTCTATTTTGTCAAACATTAAAATGGTTACACTGATTGCTTAAGTCCATTTGCTTGAAATATCTTTTTCAATCTTTTAACACTGAGGTGATATCTACCCTTGATTAAGATGTGTTTCTTGGATGAAGCAGGATGGATTCTGTTTTTACAACCATTTTGCTAGTCCATGTCTTTTTATAGGGGAATTGAGACCACTGATGTTGAGAATTATCTATGGGCAGTGTTTGTTGATTTCCATTATTTTGATGTGGTGATATGGGTCTCCTCCCCTTTCTTTTGATTTGTTGGGTCTGATACTATTTATTCCTTATGTTTTCTTGGCTGTGATTAGCCTCTTCAGGTTGAAGTTTTCTTTATAGTGCTTTCTGTAGGGCTGAATTTGTAGAGAGATACTGCTTAAAGTTGGTTTTCATATGGAATCTCTCTCTCTCTCTCTCTCTCTCTCTCTCTCTCTCTCTCTCTCTCCTCCATTTATTGTGATTGAAGGCTTTTGTGGGTATTGTAGTCTGAACTGACATTTGTGGTCTCTTAGAGTTTGTAAAACATCTTACCAGGTCCTTCTTGCTTTTAGAATCTCCATTGAGAGGTCAGGTGTTTGGTCTGCCTTTATATGTTACTTGGTCTTTTTGCCCTTGAGGTTTTTAATATTCTTTTTGTTCTGTATACTTGGTGTTTTGATTATTGGGTGCCATGGGGAATTTCTTTTCTGGCCCAGTCTATTTAGTGTTCTGGATGCTTCTTGTACCCTGATAGGCACCTTTCCTTTTACATTGGGGAAATTTTCTTCTATGATTTTGTTGAAAATATTTTCTGTGCCTCTGACATTGGTTTCTTTTCCTTCATCTGTTCCTAATATCCATAGGGTTGGTCTTTAAAAAGTGTCCCAGATTTCCTGAATGTTTTGTGCCTGGGCTTTTTTAGATTTAACATTTTCTTTTGCTGAGGTATACATTTCTGTGCTGTATATTTTTTTAAGATTTAATATTTAATTTGACTGAGGTATACATTTATCTTGTTTTCAATGACTGAGATTTCTCTTCCACCTCTTATACTCTGTTGGTGAGGTTGACCTCTAAGATTTGTGTTTGAGTTCCTAAATTTTTAAAGTTTTCACTCACTTTGTGTTTTCTTTATTGATTCTATGTCCACTTACTAGTCTTGAACTGTTTTTTTTTTTCATTTCATTCCACTGTTTTTATTTTGTGTGTGTTTTCATAAATGTTTTTAATGTATTTCTTTAATAATGTCTTCTATGAAGACTTCTGACATGTTCATAAAGACTATTTGAAGTCCTTGTCTGTGCTTCAAATATATTGCATTTCTCAGGGCTTAATGTAGTAGGGTTGCTGGACTCTGGTGGAGACATATTGTCCTGACTGTTATTGGTGTGTTTTTATGCTGGTGTCTAGGCACATGGGTTTGGGGTGATTGTAATTCTAGGTGCTGATATCCCGTCTTCTTGGGTATTTTCTTCCTTAGTTCCTGTTGCCCTTGCCCTTCCTGGTTCTTAGTAAAGTGTGGTGGCCATGGGTTGTCTAGGAGGGAATGCTTCTGAGATCCTGATAAGTGTGCCCACTGGGGGGGTGATCCCCAGTTAGAATGTTCTTAGTATTGAAAGCTGACAGAGATAGAGATTGGCTTGGGGAGACAGGGTAGAGAAGGTCCCTGGAAGGAGGGAAGCAGGCTCCACCATTAGGATCTGCTTTGTCTCCTAGAAATGGGGGCAAAAAGAGGAGCAGTAACAGTTGAGAGTCTGCTACAGAGCTGGGGATGAGTCTGGGGATGGGATTTGGAGCAAAAGAAAGAGCGTAGAGTTCTGAAGACTGTCTACCTGCTTCCCTGGCCTGTGTGGCCCATTGTTCAGCAGGGAGTGCCTCAGGAAGTTAGAGACTGGGGCGGTTGAGACAAAAGGAAGGTATGGACAAGAGGACCGTAGGAGATCTGTGTTGTCTTCTGAAGACCGTGGCAGGGAGGATGAGGAAACTGCAGTAGGGGTCTGCGCAGAGGTCCTGCGCAGAAAGGGACTGGATTTGGAAGAGAAGAGGAGAGTGAAGATCTGAAGGTCACATGGCTGGCATGGCTAGCAGGTTCCCAGGGAACCCATCTTAACATCTTACAGAGAACATTTGTTGGATGACTTAACTATATCAAGTTTTAAAATAATTATCAACAGAAATAAAGCAGCTATATATATATTTTTAATCCAAATAAGGTTGAGTAAACATGAGAATGACAACATATATGTTGAAAATGGCAGCATATATGTGAATTTCTACAAATAAGGCTATTAAAGAAATGCTTACATAAAATATTAAAAACAGAAATATTAAAATTGCATGGAAACAACAGAACTTAGAAACTCCCCTTTAAGCTCAGCCTCATTTTCTGATGACTTACTACATTAATGAAGACCTACACATGTCCTATTGTCTTCCAAGGTTAAATGAAACACCACATCCTAAACTGAGATTTTAGAATGAGTTATCTGTAAGTGTTTCCTGCCCTCCAGTGGTATCTGTCCCGATATCTTCACTGCAGCTGCCAGCCTTATGAAGGGAAGTTACCTCTTTTACAGGAATGATGGGACTACTTTTACATGAACATTGGGAGATTATGGTACACTGTATGGCAACATCAGCTGTTTCCCCCATAGCCGGCTCTTTCTCTGTCTGTACCCCTACATCACATCTTCTAGCCTGAAGCACACAGTTATTACTGATTTTGTTTTGTGAGGTATGTTCTGAATTGCACTGAGACTCTGGAAATGCATCAGTATTATTTTTCAATGAAGACTCGTGAAAATTATGAATTTTGACATTGTCTTCCACAATTATGTCACCTAAATGATCTACCACCTTTTCTTGACAAAAATTATCAGCTGTTTCTGTGTCTTTCTTATTTGAATCTTCAATTTGCTGCTGGATTTGATCTTCATCTTCAGATACCTAAAAAAAAATGAAAGAAATCTATGGTAATTTTTAAAAATGGTCATTTCAAAACAGTCTTTAAATTCACAGTCTAAAAATTTTTTGAAAACCAAAGAAAATTTGTTAAGTTACAAATGAAAGCAGACATGATATCAAAGGTTAATTGAAGACTCTCCCACGGCTCCCAGAAAGCTATAGTTTTATAGATGGGGCTGACAGCAATTGCTACTGCAGTACAAATGCAGAAGAGAACTCTCTGTCTCCTTCTCGGGACTGCAGTCACAGGCCTCGCTATCCCACAACACTCTTCAGCTTCTTCTGAAGAGCAGAGAAGAAACACATTCCCAGGGGCAGCTAAGAAGTTAACCTTGTTCACTCATTGGCTCCTTAAGTGAAGCATTTCAGTCACATAACTGCTATTAGGTTCATCCACGAAAATGAAGAAAATGAAGCTATCAGATTACTGGAAATTGAGTGGTTATAATAAATACTGCAACTGTTACATAAAGGAACAAATTTTGTTGACTTTTTAACTTTATAAAAATTTTATAAAGATTAATGAAAATACCATATGGATATTGTAGTTAAAATGTATTGTATGCTGGGATTGTAGCTCAGTAGTAGAGTGCTTGCCAAAAACGTATGAAGCTAGCATTTCTATCACTCCAATGGCGAAGAAAAATAAAATACATATTGATATTCAAGCTTGGAAGTAGATAGTCATTGTTTGAATAACAGAAAACTAAAATTAGGTCTAGACTTCAGTGGATGGACCCAGGAAGCAGAAGTAGCCCATGGAATCACTGAAGTCAGTTAAGCTACACTGGCCAGAACAGGTCCTATGCATCTCATCTCATCAACATGAGTGACAGCTGCACTCATATGAAGGAACACAGCTGCTGCTTTCTTAGACATATTCTGTGGGCAAAAATGAAATTAATCAAGTGACCATACACCTGAAAAACCTGAGAAAAGCATTACGAAGAAAAAGAAAGAAGCACTTTGTAAATGTAGCTATGAGGCCTCATTTAGACTAGGGAGTCAATGAAGAACTCACTGCAAAAATACTGACACTTGGAACACAATGAAGATGAGACCCAGGAAGCAAAATATATGAAGCAAGGGTCAAAGACCTCAGTGTGAAAAGATGAAGAAAGCAGGAAGTACCCTGCAAGGTAAAAGTGTAGGAAATGACTGTCCTATTAGGACTCCATTTGTATAGTGATATTTTGTTTATAAAGCTTGCCTGAAGAACAGAGTGCAGAGCTAAGCCACTACTTAGACATAGGGGCCAGGCAGTGGTGGACGTGCCTTTAATCCCAGCACTCAGGAGACAGAAACAGATGGATCTGTTAGTTCAAGGCTACCGTGAACTACACAAGATTGACTCTGTCTAAAAGAGAAATGGTGCTCACACAAAGGTGATCCCAGCACTTGGGATCCCATGCCTTTAATCCCATTACTAGGGAGGTGAAAACAGAAGTGATATGGCTGGGCAGAAAGAGGAAAATGAAGCAGGAGACAGAAGTTCAGGGCAGTCTGAGGATTCACAGGGACAGGATTGCCCTTTAGTCTAAGCACTAGTGGACATAAGAACTCTAGTGGCTGGCTGCTCTATTTCTCTGATTCTTCAGCTTTCATCCCCTGATAGCTGACTTGGAGTTTTTATTATTAAGGCCACTTAGAATTTGTGTTACACATTAGTTCAGGAATTAGGACCAATAATTGTCAGTTGGAACCTCATAAAACCAAAACAGAGAAGAAACTGGAAAAGCAGTCTGTGTAGATCAGGAGACTATTCAATGCAGTCAGGAGCCAGTTTTCACAGTTAGGAGCTGCTGTAAAGAGTTTAGATGGGTTAGTAAAACAGGAGCCTACTGAAGGTGGTTATCATGATTGCATTTGTATTCTTAAGATAGCAGTGAACTTCGCTACCTAAGTTGAAGCAAAAACAAAATACTAAGATCTTTTGAGAAACAACCACAATCATTCAAAAACAAACTAGTGAGGACATAGAATTGGGCTCTAGTGAGAAAGGGTGAGAAATAGGTAAATTTTCAATTGATCAGGTGAAGGAATGACTATGGGAGGATGTTGACAGAGGTTTCTGTCCCTCCTGGTCCCACAGTCATTTAGTACCAAAGAAACACACAGAGACCTACATTAATTATAAACTGGCTGGCTTATTAGCTCAGGCTTCTTATTAACTAACTTTTACATCTTAAATTAACCCATAATCCTTATCTACGTTAGCCACGTGGCTTGGTGCCTTTATCAGTGAGGCATTCTCATCTTGCTTCCTCTGAGTCTGAGTGATGACTACAGACTGAGCCTTTCCTCCCCAGAATTCTCCTATTCTGGTTCCCCTGTGTATACTTCCTGCCTGGCTACTGGCCAATCAGCATTTTATTAAACCAATATAAGTGACAAATCTTTACAGGTTACAATTTTATTGACCCACAGTAGGAGGAGGCAGAGTGAGGTTAACTGTTTTTCTAGACTTCTGAAATTAACACTTAGATATACTGAAGTACTTAATGATATGGGAATTACCAGAAAAACTTAAAAGAGGATTCAGTTTGAAATTTAAAAGGGTATAGATTCTCTTAACTACCCAAGAACTGTTCAATAGAACATTTAAAAAAGGCTTAGAGCTAAAGTCATCAAGCAGCACAAGTGCCATTCTAAGGCTTGCACATCATTGCCACTTCAGGGCACAGAGTGGCAGAAGATCCCATATAGAGTTGTCATAGTATCATGTAGGGAGGACAGAGGAGAGAATAATAGAGCATTCTCTCTATGCTATGGTATAGGTGAAAAGGTAGCTAACACAGCATTCTAATGATGAAGGAGAGACAAAAACTACTTCATTTGTTTATGGTAGTTGGAACTGAAGTGAGGGCAAGTGTTCTAAGTCTCACATAAATGTTTTCAAAAGATCAAATAATTTCCATCAAGATCAGGAGTCCTTATAACCAAAGGCTCAAAAGTTTGTTTGCTATTAGTCAACTTAACGCAGCTGCAGTCAACTGGAAGAGGGAACATTCACTAATTAAGGGAATGCCTCCATCAGATTTCCTGTAGGCGAGCTTCTACGGTTTTTCTTTGATAAACGATAGACGTGGCTGGTGGGGCGTGAGGAGCAGCACTCTTTTAGGTGGGGTAACCCCTGGGCAGAGGTTGTAAGAAAGCAGGTTGATAGCGAAAGTTTGGCTTCTTCCTTTCCAATTTGAATCCCCTTGATCTCCTTTAGTTGTCTTATTGCAATAGATAGAACTTCAAAAACTATGTTGAATAGATATGGAAAGAGTAGACAACCTTGTCTTGTTCCTGATTTTAGTGGAATCGCTTTGAGTTTCTCTTCATTTAATTTGATGTTGGCTGTAGGTTTCCTGAATATTGGCTTTATTATGTTTAGATAAGTTCCTTGTATCCCTGATTTCTCCAAGACCTTTATCATGAAGGGGTATTGGATTTTGTCAAATGAGACAATCATGTTTTTTTTTTTTCTTTCAGTTTATTTATATGGTGGATTACATTGATAGATTTTCATATGTTGAACCATCCCTACATCTTTGGGATGTACACTACTTGATGATGGTGGATAATTTTTTTTGATGTGTTCATAGATTCAGTTTGCCAGTATTTTATTGAGTTTTTTACATCAATGTTCATGAGTGAGAATGGTTTGTAATTTTCTTTCTTGGTTGAGTCTTGGTGTAGTTTTGGTATCAGGGTAACTGTCGCCTCATAAAGAGAGATTGGCAATGTTCCTTCTGTCAAATACTTGGTTTTACTTTTTGTTACATTTTCTGACATTGTTATATTTAAAAAATGTTTTTAACTTTGAAAATCATGTTTATGTAATTTTTATTTCCACTATTGGCTCATTTCTTCTCAATATAAAAAGAGAAAAAACAATTTGAAATTAATATAGCAAAAATTAATAATTCCAAAAGGAGGGGCTTACCAAATCAGAGCTCGAGCTGAATGTACTCTCCATCAGTCGTGGAGAGTAGCTGGCAGACTGGCTGCTCTGCGAAGACTCCAGATCTGAAATAAAGCTTCCACTCATGAAATATGGGACTACTCACACTCTAGCAAGGTGGAAGACATCTAAATTTCACTAACATAACAAACAGCACTTTAAGATATGCTGAGATTAATTAAATTTTTGATGAGGGCAACTATTTCTGATGAAGAAAAAAAAGTGAGGCTTGATCTGATTCCTAGCAGTGTAATCTAAGGCATTTTCCTCATAAGATTTGGCACTGTGAGCCTAGAACCAGCAAGGAAGAAGCAAGCCTGTCTGTGCCAGGGATCCTCTCAATAATGACATATGAAGGGCATGATGACAAAAATGAAGGCCTTCCCTTGGCTCTGGTAATTTAAGCATGTTTACACAATGTAACTCTGACTGAGGCTCTGAGCAGTGTGGAAGGCCTGCCAGCCTGTGTGTACCTGTGTCACATCCATTGGAACAATGCACAAAATTCCTGAGTGAACGTGTAAGGAATGAGGGAAGTCCCCAGGAAATGTGAGTGGTTGGCATAAGCACAGCCATGTCAAGGACTCCAGTGTCTCAGACTCACAGAGATGGCAAACCATCCTTGGCCTGTGTGCAGCATGGGCAGTGTATACAGAGTGTATTGACAGCAGCATCTTTTCCCCTGATGTTTAGAGCCTCAGACTGCTCCCCCACAGAGACCTCCTACTAAAATGAAACAGACCTGCCTCCTTGTTCAGCTGCATATTGAAAACCTGCCTCCTTGATTCAGGTGTCTAAAAGAAAGGCTGGCTTTCCAAGTTACTGTTGTCGTGTACTCCATAGAGTGCAGAATGCACCCAGCTCGGCTTTTCTCAATGTGAGTCTGCCATTTCTTCATTCTCAGTTACCCAGTTAGGTCAGGCCCTAAAGTCATGCAGCTCATGGCACTTCATAAATTTCTTCTGTTTAGTATTTACCTCTTTGTGCTTTGATTATTCCTTTGTTGTGTTTCAACTTGTATCTTCCAGGAAAGACTGCTTTTCTATTCTTTCTCTATACCTACTTGGCAACACATTGGACCCTTACACTTACCTTCTTGTTCTTACTTTTTATTCTCTTGTTTCTTCTTTCCCCATTATTTCCTCAAAACAAAAACCAAAAAAAAAAAATCTCTAAACTCAATTTTCCCTCAGGACTACTCTAGTGCACCTGAATTTCAGGAACAAGGAGCAGTACATAGTTTCTAGCTCAAGCTGACACTGGACTGCTGTTGAATCCCTGCATCTTTAATGCAGTCTGCTTCCCCCCTAAACAGCAGGAGGGAACTGAAGACAACTCGCCAGGACTCAGACTAAATAAACAAAGTAAGCAAACAAACTTAGACTTGCCAAAGGAGATGAAAAAATCAGTAATTTGAAGCAAAATTATAAATAGAGAAAAAAAATAGCCAGGAAATGGAAATACCAGAAAAAAAGAGAACCTAACAGAAAATTTGGAAATAAGAGAACCAATAAATCAAATTGCACAGAGGGGAATTATCAACAGATAAAACCACACAAAGAAAATTTCAAAGATGGAGGACAAGTTAAGACAAAATACACTATAATACATATAAAGAAAAGCAGCGTGAACGTGGCCAACATGTTCAAGAACTCTGGGACATGTACAAGAGGTAAAATCCAAGAATCCATGAGGGAGAAGAAATAACTAAGGTAAAAACTAAATTAAAAAAATGATAGCAGAACAAATTACTAAACCCAGAGAAAGAAGTGGATATCCAAAAGTGTGAAGGATAGAATTTAAAGCCTCAAATACACATCACAGTTAAGATGTTGAAAATACAAAGAAACAACATTAAAAGTTGTAAAATATCAATGTATATAGAAAGGCAGAAACAGCAGACTAATATCACATTTTTTGGCAGCTTGGAAAGTAATTAACTGTCAATCAGAATTACTATACTTAGATTTCTTAAAACAGGTAGAGAAATAGCCTTTAAAGATAACGCATGAAAACCAAGACAGTTATGCTAAAATTATTTAAAGTAAATAGAATAAGAAAAACAATCCCATCCATGAAAATAAAGGAAAGAAAGCCAGAAAGGAATCCATCATGTACAACCCAGTAAATTTCTTCGTTCAGGATTCAGGGAACCCAATGGAAGGGGAGGCAGGAGTAGAAGTCATAGGGGACAGAGGACACCAAGAAAGCAAGGCCTTCTAAATCAACATGGTCAATGCACATGAACTCAGAGACCGAGGCAGTATGCATAGGGCCTGCATGGGTCCACCCCAGATGGGGTCCTAGAGCTGAAGGGGGAAGTGCACACAACCTCCATCCCTACCCAGAAGCTATCTCCAACTGATAACCACTTGGAAATGAAAATTTAGTTTTTTGCTAGGGAGTCTCACCGGGGAAACTACTCTTCAGTGCAGGCTGCATGTCCAGAAAATGAACTCACAGGCACTATTGGAGGTTCCTTGTCTCATGATGTCATGTCAGGGACTTTCCTTTTTATTAAAAATTTATTATAATTTTTATCTTTTATTTTTAAATATTATTTTCTTCAATCATCCTACCCTATGGGTCTTTTGCATAGATCCTATGTCTTCCAATCCAGTGTTTCTGTGGAGTCCTGGGTGCTAACAAGTGGTCTCTGTCTCTGTGCCTTCACTTGAACTCTCTTCCTTCTGCTTGTTTGTTCTGGCATATTCCAATGTGTTAGTTTTTGTTATGCTATTTTATTTCATTATATTATATTATTAACCCTTAGAAGCCTGTTTGTTTTCTAATGAGAGATAGAAAGAAATAATGGATCTAGTTGGAAGGAGATGTGGGAAGAAACTGGGATGAATAGAGGAAGGGGAAACCACAATAAAAGGGGAAAATTAAGATATTATAAAGTGTCTGATAAGAAAACCCATTAATTTTATGGTAATTTAAGAGTTTTTTGTTGGTTTGGTTTTGTTGTTGTTGTTTTGTTTTGTGTTTTTTTGAGACAGGGTCACACTTTATAGCTCTGGCTATTCTGAACTCACTATATGTGCAGACCAAGCTGAACTCAAACCAAAGAGATCTACGCCCCTGCCTCCCGAGTGCTGGGATGAAAAGTGACACCACCACACCTGGCTCCATTTTCATGATAATTTAAAGTAATAAATTAATAAAAATTGTAAAAGTTCACAAAGGTTTCTAAGTATCATAGCAGACCAGATAACAGGAAGAGCTGTTCTAGGACCAAAAACCTATGACATGCCTAGTAGTTGTAAAACTTTTATGAACAGAAAGTTACTCAAATATGAAACACTAGCATATACAAGCTTATAAACAATTAGTATGCAAGATTTATAAAAGACACATAGAGCATAGCAAATATAGCCAGGAAAAGACACGCTCCTTCATGAGAAGCAAGGATCTTAAACGCAGCACTAGGAAGCATAGCATGCTCACAAGCAACTGTTTTCCAGATGTCCAGAGGCAGAGGCAGAGTGATGGTGGACTACAGTGAGATCTTGTATCCAAAAGCAAAACAAAGGGTAACACGAGCAAAACATGGAACATGGCTGATCAAGTAATCTAATTAATAAGCAGAGAAGTAGAATATTAAAACTACCAAGAGTTACTAGGTTTAAATAATGATGAAAGATTGACACAGCACAGGTGACTATATGACTTTTCCTGCTGCCTATAGCAGGCTAAAGTGGACATGTAAGCTCTAGGAAACAAGCTTGCATCACCTTAGAAAGGTAATGCATCATGTGAAAAGTGGTTGGTTCTGTTCCCAGAAATATACTCAAGAACTTTCATGTGTGTTCCAGAAATGTCAAGAGTGGACAAAATAGCCAAGGACAAAATATCGGGGACAATGTAAGCAAGTATCTGTTGCCAGAAGATGCATGAATCAATTAGAGCGTGTTGATGCAAAGAATGCTGGGTAGCCAAAGAAACTAATCTGTAAAAGCCACAAATTCCAAATACGCGGTGAAAAAGGAAAACTGCCAAAAACAAAAACAAAAAACAAATAAAAGAAAACAGGGCAATAGTGACCTCTAGGGAGCATGGTAGGAAATGCAATAGGGGATGTTTTTTAAAATACAGTTTGTATTGTCTCAAACTACAGTTGAGTATAAACTATCTGTGAAATTGTAAATTTATATTCTATGTGTTCATCATGACTATTTTATAAAAGGAAATAGCAATTTTAAGGAATCAATTGTACTGTGGTCTATTCTAAGACATCTATTAAATATTTGCTTGCTGGTAAAATCTTTAAAACCTTTAAAATTTGATATCTACTTCTTTCTTTTCTAAAACAAGGTTATCCTACAGTTACACGCACAGACTCTCTCAGCAGACATCGGCCTCCCTTTTAAAGGACACACTCCTCTTCTTTCCATTGGGATCTAGAAGAAAGAATCAAGATTATAAGAATCCAAATTATTCATAGCACTCTTCACATATCCAACCAATACCACCATTTCGTCTTATAGAACTTTCAACTAAATTTTAACTCCAATTCAAATTTAAACTATTGAACTAAATTTAGAAACATGGAGAGCAGAGTAGGCAATTGCTAAGAAATGCATTACTATCAAAAGGCAAAACGTCACACTGTTATGGTGCATGTTGTTAAACAAATTCAAGATATTAAAGTCCTTGGGAGTGTAGTATGTTATACGTTTTTTGTTTTTTTTTTTTAAGGTGGGATGTAGAATAAATAATAAAACTCCAGAGACAGATATTGGGATTCAACCCAAAAAAACAAAAAAGCAAAGCAATCAAGCCACTAGAAAAGTCTTAACCTCTACCTACCAAAGGCTGGGTGACCACAGACTAAGCAGACTAAGCCTCTCTCTCCTCCCATTTTATACTCCCTTGAGTGCTGGGATTAAAGGCATTTGACTCCCTAGTACTAGATTTAGGTGTGGGCTATCACCACCTGGATTTGTTTTTGCATTGATCTTATATGGCCCAGAGCAGCCTTGAACTCACAGAGATCCATTTGCCTCTGTCTCCTAAATCCTGGGATTAAAGGTGTGTGCCACCGTTGCCTGACCTCTAGTGG